CGTAAACGTTGAAACCACTCGGTAAAAGTTTTACCAATTTTAAAACAAAATAGAATTTTGGCTCTTTGTTTGTAGCTCATTTTCGCACCGATAACACAAACATACTGACACTTAAAACGCAATATCTTCACTACCAATCAATGAAATGTCATGAAATTCTTACTGGACAATCGATCAAGATAGCAGATTCTAACGCACGAGTTGACATATAGATAGCGCCACCGGGTAGCGTTGGATTTAAAAACTCCTGTTTACTTTGCAACGCACCTTATAGTTGAGAAGTCAATTTCGCAAAGTGATCACAACTGCTTCGGCTCACTTCCCCGACCATTGCCCCAATTTCCAAACCGAAGCAGCTGTTTTAACAGCGAACTCGAAACCTTACACCTTGCCGATCCCTTCGTAGATTGCATAAGAGATGTCAATTTTGAGATCCAACAATTGGTAAACGATCACAAAAGAGGAAATGGATGCAACACCTGAACTCCTGTAACCACTCTACCTGTGTGAGTAAGCTGCTTTACTGTCAAGGCCTTGTTCAATCCAAAGGGACATGACAATAGGACTGGATTTGAATGTAGCAGCGGTGCATCGTAGGTAACGCTAACTGAGCTCCGCCTTCTCGGGCGGAAGGACTAAAGATGTCTAGTCTTACTGTCTTAGGACTATTAAAGAGGCGTACCTTTAACGTCGTCGACTGCAGCGTTAACGTCTAGTCTATAGAAAAAAATAGTATAGGTCCTTCGCGTTGGCAGCATGGGGACACATAACTTGTGATCCGCTCCTTTTGTGTTAAACCTAACTAAGGTCGAGTTTTGGTGGAGACTTCTGGCATCAAGTAAAAATTGCTCAAATAGTAAAATGTTCAAGAAAAACGGTGTACAATGCCATCAAAAATGTTAACGAGTGATCCAAATTTGTTAAAACAAAACAAAGTTCGTAAGGCTCCCCCTCGCAAAGCAACACTCCGCGAGGATAAAATAATTCTTAGAAAGTGTAAATTCTTTGAAAGTGTAGTGATCCTTTCAAATCCTCACGCGCGATTATGGTCGAAGTCAATGCAGAATTGGACTTAAACGTGTCAAGTAGACTAGTACGAAGACGTTTAAATGAAAATAATTTGTATGGACGTGTGAGCAGAAAAAAAACCGTTATAGTCGAAAAAAATATTACAGCGAGTTTGTCATTCGCTCATAGCCATAGATCAAAAGATTTAAATTTTTGGAAAAGGAGACTTTTTACGGACGRAACTAAAATAAACCGGATTGGTCCTGATGGTAAAACATTTGTACACGTGAAAAAACCAAGAAGTCAATCCAAGGTACACCAAAAAAGACCGTAAAGTATGGGGGAGGAAATTTAAAAGTATGGGGGTCGTTTTCATGGCGTGGGGTTGGACCATTAGTAAAGATATAAGGGAATATGGATAAATTTGCATACCTTAATATACTGAGGAATACAATGGTCCCATATTCCTATGATATTATGCCTGTAAACTGGATCTTTATGCACGACAACGATCCCAAGCATACAGAAAATGTGGTAAAAAAAGACTGGCTTGCGCAAGAAAAAATTCCACTTCTCGATTGGCCAGCGCAAAGTCCTGATCTAAACCCGTTCGAGAACTTGTGGAATGATGTCAAAGAAAAAGTTGGGCAAAGAAAATTTAAAAATTGCGACGAACTTTGGGCAGGAGTACAGGAAGCGTGGAACTTTATTCCTTTGGACAGATGCCAAAGATTAATAGAGAGCTTTCCACGCAGATGTGAAGCGGTGATAACGAATAACGGTTATTCCACTAAGTATTAAACAAGTTAGATATAATATCAGAGAAATTTCACGCCTCGTGTTAATAATATTTTTTTTACTGATCTTTTAAAGTGCGTTAAATACTTATCCAAGCCAATTTTGACTTAAAAATGTAAACTGAACAGAACGTTGTATTTTTTATTATAGAAAACTAAGACATTTTGGACTACTTTAGTTATGAGTGAGGTAATAAATAGTTTTTTTTTTTACATTATAACGATTCTACTTTCCTTAAATAAAGCATTATTAAGTATCATATTTCACATTAAGAAAGTGCGCTAAATCTCTGTCCATAGCTGTACACGATCAAACCATCAAGTGATTGCTCCAGCTTGCTGCCGTAGTGTACACTTAAAAAAACGAAGTTCAAAATGCCGACCCATCAAAACACCGACAAAATTCAAAAATGCATCTAAATCAGAATACCGACAAATAAAAACACCGACAAACTAAAATGCCGACATATGAAAAATATTTTGCCGTGTCCGTATATTTACTTTGTGAAAAGCAAGTTGGCGAGTTCCCCTTTTATACCCAAGCTCAGAAAGAGAATTCTACTGATTAAGAGTTATGGTTTTGAATTACTCAACTAAAATTCAAAAACTTAACATTCGGATAATGATGTCTTCTACTTTGGGATCAAGGAATCATATTAACCATTTTTTTTATTAAATCTAGTAATTCATTTTAAATTTTTGTCTTCTTCGTATTTTGAATTATCGGAATTGCGTTATACACTCAATCCTAAGGCGTTAAAATTCCGAATGTCAATAATCCTAACATTTTAGGTGTAACATTCCATAGCCTGTGCTCCTTCATGTCTCATGCGATCGGTATAACTCAAGTCGCAAGACGGCAGCTATTAGGGAAAAAGACAAAGAAATRTGGTTCGAAACATTCAAGGCAATCTACCAGCCGGTCTTAAACTATCTTATATGTTCGCCTGAAAGTAGTGAAACACAGACCTGTCAAAACACCGGACTATTCGATTCCCTCCCGACAGCCGATTCTACGTACCGGAATTGACTCGGATTTCATCCGACCAAGAGCTGTTTTTTCGGCGATCTAACAAAAAAAACCGGACTATTATTGTTGTTGTTGTTGTTGTAACGGCAGAAATTCTGCCGAGTTGACAGTCCTTGGCCAGATAAAAATCCGGGTCCGTTCCGGTTTTCGTAGAACCGACTGTCGTGGGAACGACCGGACTATTATTGTCTCCTTACTTAATGAGGTATTGCACTGCCACTTAGGGTCCACTCTGCCCTCTCCTATATCACATATGGTCACCAAGGGCTAGCATCCTGAATAATTCCAGCTGCCTTCTGTGAGCTGTTCGGTTAGGAAACATAACAAACTCTTCTCGAAGCAGTTTCTGCTAAGATGTTTTCACAGAAACCATTCTTGAGATCGCCTGCTTAATGCGGAAAAGCATCTTAGGAACATCAAGAGGTCCTTCCTTCACTGCGTTAACAATATTTAACAGTTCACCGATCAGACTTCGGACGCAACTATTAACACACATCGAATTGGGACAGCAATAACATTCCTTCTCAATGAATGACTTACTTGGAGTCTGTACTATACCTTGCAAACGACGATGACGTTTTGGATATTGTATTGGACCCCGACTTTCCATATAGAAACATGCAGCATGCAACGAGTCCTCACATGACTCTAACCACCCCTTTCCATGCCCAACGAATCCCATTCTTTTAACACGGTCCGACGTCGTCGAAATAGCACGTTTCCTGGGTCTACCGTTAATGACTTTAATGACAATCTACCTGAATCTTACCACCTAAGTCGGGATAAGACAACCGTTACAACAACAGCAAGGAAAAGGACAGAGACGTAATTCGATAGTCTTATCATCGAATATCTCCCATTTCCCCAGTAATGAAGACACTAGAGTTCCTTTTACTCCTTATCTTTATTCACCACCTTAACTTAACAGACCGTCAACAACCCCACCACAGTATTTAACGTTATAAATGCGCAGACATTTCGTAGCCGAAGGGGCTAACGCTCTTTTCCAATAAATTTTTCACAGCGACCAWAAGCATTAACTAATTAGGGCCTACTGATGTCTCCCATCGACACCTGTCCGGGAGAACTATATTACTTTTGCATATGCACTGAGCACGTTCCATTGGAAATTCAATAAACACACAATACTATGAATATTTAATAATTTGAAAAACGTACTTTTTTCTTTAAGAACATATAATAAAAGTAAAATATTGATAAATTGAAATGTGCATTAAGTAATTACAGATATTTGTACGTTAATTATAGTAACATAGCTCTAGCATAACTTTTACACGGTTCACAGGATGAAAAGTTTTTCCACCCTTCTGGTATTTTCTGAAATTAGTAGTGTCAATATATGAAAAATCATTATAGAAAAATAACTCATTATAAATCATCGAAAAAACGTTTATTGCAGCATCCTTTACAGATTTTTGGTCTGCCAATTTCTATAGCAAATATTTAATGTATAAAAACTTAATATACACTGATCATATGTTAAATTTTATGATTTTCTATGCAAATATTTTAAAAAGTAAAAGTTATCCTTCAGTTGTAGAATATATGTATATAAAATCGGCAGAACCCCTCTAATACCCTGAGGGGATAATATTATATTTCCCTGCACTTAAAGCCTTTATATTATGACCTTTAAATATGAATATCTTAAAAGCAATAAGTGTGCTATGCACACAGGTGGCAGAATGAATAAAAGCGATCGTATCAAATTATTTTAATAATAAAACGTATTTCAGTAAACATAGATTTTAATCAGTAGTCACAAATCGGTGGGAATTTTGATTTTCTTGGCTTAACATACCAGCATTTTAGCAAAGAAGTTTAGTTACGTGTTGTCCTTGTTTAGTTTTACGAGCTAAATTTTATACCTCTTGTTCATTTGGAAATTATGCATCCAAAATTGTTTATTAATCATTAATGTTTTCATTAAAAAAATAGTACAAGCCATTTTTTAAATAAAACATTTTGCACAGCGACTTCTGATTTACTCAATGGGTCTCTATTAATTCTACCAACAGTGTATATAATTTTATTATTAATATTCTCATTATTATTCTAAATTGCAAGTAAAATAGAAATTGTGTTTAAAAATAATATATAAAAGAAACATATTAAAAATCACATTTATTTAAAAATTAACTTACCAAAACTGTTTTGTTTTCTAGGCTTTTGGTTATTCCAGGAAACATGTTGACTCTCCTTTATATTGAAAGGGGGATATTGAAACTGCATTGAACTCTGGTGAGAATCTTATAATAGAATACAAGATTAGTTATTTGTATAGATAATATTTAAAAAAAACATACATGCATTTTCATCACCAGTAGATGATAAATTTTCATAGGAAGCTTCATCTACTTGCTGACTCCAGGGAATATTTCGTTCCTCTACATTTTTTGCTTTTTGACAAAAATTAAAAATTATATATATATACATGTACAAAAAATATTTTAGTATTTTATAATTAAACAAGCTAGTTCACAAGATGTAAAGTGACACTAAGTTTTTGCGAATTTAGGTGTTTTACCAGTATTTCCAGGTGCTTTCATCTAGAATATAAAAATGTTTACCAAAAATTATATATTTTAACATTAGTAAACATTTTTGAACAGAATTTAATTCGAGGTATACCTGCTCCGAAACGCTTGTAGACATTTGCCGTAAACTTTTGTATTGTACTTTTCTGGGGTGAAAAAAGAACGATATATCGACCGGATATCGAAATAATACTTTTGTTTACCTCTTAAAAATAATATATATGAACACGGCAACACACAAATTAACTTATAGAATAACTTATTTAAGTTGGCAGTCAAACACTTGATATCTAAAGTTGTATATTTTTATTTTAMAGGACAATTGCAAAAACCGATAAGCGAACGAAAAGCGACACAGACACCAACAAAGAACACACGATTCGACGCATAAACTTCAGATATGTTTCATTCCCAAATAACATATTTGGTCTTCAAAATTTAACGCATCTCTAATAGGTCTGTTAAATGATTAAGTCAATGGCCTACAGCAATCTTGCCAAGTTCCCTCAAAATAATACTACATTTACACACACTAAAATTAAAAATTTTGTTTTTATGTTTCAACATATGTGGCAACCGGTATAAACAATATTTCTATATTCTTGTATCATGTTACACATATGCACAAACATTAAAAATCACGCGATAACATATTTTTTATAAAAATTGCAATTTATTCTTCTTTGAATTTTTCAACAAAATCTATGGACATGGGGAATTTTTGGCAGTTATTTGGCGCTGCCGTTATTATTTAGGAGCGGTAATTAATATATAATTCTTTATATTATAATCCTATACATAGACAAAAAATCCTTATAAGAATAATGACAGTCATAGCTTAAAAAATTGTGTCAGCGCGCAGAACTCTAACATTTTCATTGCATTGTACAAAAACTACCAGGTAATATTCTACATGGATTCAAGCCACATATACATACAATATACACTTTTTCAAAACGAATTAAATAGTCTACTCGAATACAATACACTTTCTTTACGCGGGTATAATAACGGCTTCAGAGTTAAGTTTAACGTAAGTAGGTCAGCTGATTTTACAAACTGATTAAAAAATTAATTAATGAAATGGAAAACAAAACATTTCGCACAATTTTTTTTCMGGAAGAAAATGCCTCACTTWATGTGAGGATTTTAGAGAAATTTAAACCAAATTAAATAATTGAAGTTATTTTCTCCATAACACACAACAACATATTTATTGTTTAAAATTTTTTTTCAATATCTAATGCTTATGAAACAAAGCTAGTATTCGAGTTTACTACATTGCCATGTGTGTCCCCAACGTACAAAACATAATACCATGACACTTTTAATATGCTATTGTTACTACATGTCTATCTCAGGTATTACCAAACTTTAGCACTGGGATAGTATCATGGATGAGATTTTCATGAGGTATGGATCCTCTGTCTCATTCGATAATGTCTATTTTAGGAAGCGAAGCTCCGAAACTGCGTCGGCGCAAAAGAACCGACYCATTCCGGAATCAACATAGTTGTTACAGACGCTATCGTTCAGGTAGATTGGAACAAGTCTCTTAGCGAGGGGGAAGGAGTGCTACTTTCCCTACAGCAGCTCCTGGATAGGCAAAAGGAGCAGGTGACGAGAGTGGCGACGAAGACCTGTCGCTCATAGAACCAACCCTCTGATATTCAGTACCCGAATAAAAGTTGCCAAGGAAAACCTGCATCACGCGACGGCAGCCTTGGCTGTCATCTCAGGGAAGTTCGAATCGGATAACCTGACTATCCTGTTGATCCAGGAGCCATATATATTCAAAGAAGAGGTAAGGCGCCTCAATTCAAGGAAAATCAAGGTGATTTTGGATCTTTGTTGCAATTGACCTTGTTCTTGTGTAGTGGTAAGATAGGACTTCGTTCTTGTATCGGTTTACCTTAAAGACGGGACGACCACAACACCCCCCTCTATCGACGCACACCAATGTAAGCATCGAGAATGTGGGCTGCGAAGCCACCTTCATAGCTCTACAGATGCCTCAAGAACCCGCAATATCAGATCACAGGATCATACGATTTGCACTGAAGGTGAAGGTCAAACAGTTTTATGAAATTCTGTGACAACGTCTGCCCGTGAGGCAGCCAGGCTGCATAAGGCTTGTCTAACGGCAAGGCGGATACAGCATTATCCAATAAAAAAGGGCAGAACAATAGCACTCCTGCGGGCGCCATATAAGAAGAAAAATATTATAGAAAACTATTGCGTATAAGATCGAAGGAGCTAAAAATCAAACAACTACATTGAGGTCAGCACGTGTACAGAGTAGGCAGCTTCACTAACACTGCTCTTTACCAATTCACGTCTGAACTCCAAAATTCGCTGGAAATGGCGAGGTTGCGATATGCGCCACGCTAAGTTACTGCTAGCAAGGACAACTTTGAAAGGTTTAGATATATTATCAACCTCCCCCGAGACAAATTACGTGTCCTTGTCGCGCTGCAAACTCAGGAAGCACTTGTTCAACAAAGAAAAAATTTCTTGTGCATAGTGCCGGTTTTGCGGCATGGACCAGGAAACTCCTAAACATATGACTAAAGATTGCCCAGCAATTTGCAGAAGCAAGCTCACGGCTCTAGGTTTCATATTCGTGGACAGGGATCACATCACCTCTGTCGCGCCCGGTAAGCTCCTTGAATTGTTCAGAGTGATGGGGCTTTATGATCATATATGATATATGTAGGAGAAGGTACAATAGACCAATGCAGTGCCTCAAGTATCTTCTATACATTTATCTACCAAACATGGCTGGGATTTAGAATAGCATCCCCGGATTTCGGGGATAAAATGGGTATCACTGGAAAGGTGACGTTCTTCAGATCACGAAAATATATATAYATATAGTTGCTGCTGACTTATAGTTTTAAAGATATTTGCATTTAAAGTTACAAATTGACAACTTTTAAATTGATAATTTGTATATTGTGAATAACTTTTTCACTCATATTATGCACTTTTCACTTACTAACACTTCACCATAACGTTTTTGTATATTAATTTTTTTAATATTTATTGCAAATAAAGTTTTATTTTAATTATTTTGTTTTAGTTAATTTCACTGCATTTGAAAAACTAGAATAGGGACATACCAGCAAATAAATGGTATTGCCATATCTGTCTAGTTGTCAACAAAAGAAAATTAGCAAAAACTTTATACCCTAAATACATAAATGGAAAACGCCAAAAATCTTTAGCAATTATTTATAAAAGAAAGTGTTGGATCGACCAGGGTTATTTTTTTTGAAGCACGGTTGAAGGCAGCCAGTACAGAAAGAAGTTCTACGCGAAAGAACTCTGAACACCCCGGTATTGGATCGACCAGCGCCGCGCTTAAAAAAAATAACTCTAGTCGATCCAACACCGGCGTGTTCAGAGTTCTTTCGCGTAGAACTCCTTTCTGCAACTTTTTTTCTTTTATAAAAATTGCTCAATACTTTGGCTGTTAATAACTCGATAACCTCATCTAAATACGCAAAGAGAATATTGAAACGCCTGAAGACATGGATGAATCGAACACATTTTTGAAGACGACAAGACCAAAGACAGAGGGTGTGAACATATAGAAGAAATGAAGAAAGCAGAAATATAAAAATAGAGAAAATAGTCGTGGAGAGATAACACATTAAAACAAATTAAAAAGGTGGAAATTACAGGAATAGTAGAGATAACGAAAAATAAGGTTAACACAAACAAATTAAAGAAGCCACAAACTTTGCTTTGAAGCAGCTAAACTTTGGGACAAAGATTTAACAGGTGTAGTTGCACTAATTATATACAGAGAAGCCATCAAGTGGCATTTTATTCCCCCGGACAGTCCTCATTTTGGTGGAATTAGGAAGGCTGGTTATGTTGCCATAAGTGCAACACTGGACTTTGACTCGTTTGGAAGATAAAGTTGCTGACAATGGTAGAACATTAGACAATGATTATAACTAATGGGTGTTTGAATGAGTTAAGCAAATACCCACTCTACTCGGGAAAACTGGCGCACCCTAATACAACAGCGCAATTCACCACAACTAATGACACCACTCAACCTAACTTACCTTACATCTACATTATTCAACCCACTCAACAAAAAGGATGGGAAAAAGAGAAAGCGGACCACATTCGTTTATACACTGTGTCGCATCGACACCTTTCGCCATCACACTTCGTCACATATAGTGCGCAATCAACATACGTTTTTTCGTTACCGATCTCGCGGTGCAATTAACTCTCGCTTATACAATATAAACCGGATCAATCCCGCACGCGGCATACAACAATTATCTTTACCGGGATTCTGTGCATCGTTCAATTTTCATTTAAATACGATTTATTTATTCGATCGTATCTTGGCATGAAGCGAATGCCTTTTACATCCGTACCATTTTTATTGTTAAATACGAAGTGTCAAAATTTATCTTTTAATTAAATTAAAATGTACCGAAAAATATAAGAGTATTCTTTTTTATCCTCGTTTGTTCAATGGGAGAAGGGTTAAGTAAGAGAGAAAAACTAACGTCATTCTACAYATATTAGGGGTAACGAGGACAAGAGAGCACCCATTGCAGAATCGAGTGGTATATGAACGGCTGATTCGGTCAATTTAATGAGAATTACTATTGTGCTTGAATATTGGGAATTGGCGCACATTCTGGGATCATATATTTTATATATTATAATTTAGGTAGACATTATAACATCTTTTTAAAACTAACCTTCTTCAACAATTTAACTACGTAATATGTTTTTATGTAAAATTACAGCTTAAGCAGAGTTCCAATTATACTTTTACGTACCATTGCACGAATATAAACATGGGTTTTGGTTTGACATTTTACAGCCATTGCAAATAATTTTCAGCATGTGTTTGTTGATATACCGTTGCACCAAGTGGAAAGTTCTGCAAGTCCTGTGCCGTGTAAGGGTTTTGCAAGAGTGAGAGAATACCCCTATTTTAAATTAAAACCCTAAAACTGGAGGACGAAATTTTTCAAAAAGCAAAAAAGCGCAATTTCATGTTAAAATTTGGATTTTCAAGACGTAAGAAAACGGTAAAACAAACGGTGGTTTGTATGTTGTCTGTAGTATAATTAAAGATTTTAATATTACAGAAAATTCGGAGCATTTCTATGATATTGAAGATTACAAAGCAATTCAGGTAAGACATAAATTAAAAAATAAATAAATGTAGTCAGAAAATGTATACATAATTCAAATTGTTATGTTTTACGTTGTGCATTTGTGTGTAATATTTAATTTGTGCTTTATATCTAAACATACTATATGTAAAAAATTTTAAATCTTTAAACTGAATCGCAATGTCCGGTTACAAATATGTTCATTTGCACGTCCAAGGTATCTGTTTGTGTGCAAGATGTCTAAAATTGTTA